GTTGACGTAGGTATAGTATTCAATTGTGACAAAACATCCTGTAAGATGACTCGGGGATCTATGGTTATTGTACGAGGAGTTTGACATGGTACACTATACAGGCTGCAGGCATCAGTTGTAAGAAATTCCTCTTTGGGTGGTTATGTTTTGGAAAAGGAAGCTGAAAAAGAAATTGATTCTGCAACATTGTGGCATCAATGAATGGGGCACATTGGAGAGACGACTTTGTCTACTTTGGTGACTCAGAATATGGCTGAAGGTATTCCTAACGGTTCCATGAGTTTTGAGTTTTGTGAGGAATGTTTACAAGGCAAGCAAAATCGAGTTAGTTTTCAATCGACAGGCACAAGAGCACAAAAAGACTGGAGTTAATTCACAGTGACGTTTTTGGGCCCACTCCAGTGGAATCTGTTGGTAAATCCAGGTATTATGTATCTTTCATTGATGATTTTTCTAGATACTGTTGGGTTTATTTCATGCGCAGCAAGTCTGAGGCTTTTGAGAAATTTCGGGAATTTAAAGCCTTAGTTGAGAATCAGTTTGACAGGAAGATTAAAGCTTTGTGAACTAATAATGGCGGTGATTTTTGCTTAAGTAAGTTTGAGCAATTTTGTGCGACACACGGAATTGCAAGGCAGAAAACTACACCTTACACGCCTCAGCAAAATGGAGTGGTTGAACGTCTCAATCAATCACTGTTAGAGAAGGCTAGATGCATGCTAAATACGACAAATTTGGGGTCTGAATTTTGGGCTGAAGCTACAGCAATGGCTTGTTATTTGAAGAATCAGTCTCCCACTTCTTCTGTTAAAGACATGACGACATATGAAGCTTTGTATGGTAAGAAACCTAATCTGTCTTTTATTCGAGTTTTTGGTTGTGATGCGTACGTGCATGTGCCAAAGAAGAAATAAATCTGAGAAGTGCAAGTTTGTGGGGTTCAATGATGTCATCAAGGGATACAAGTTGTGGAATCTTATGAGTAGAAGCATTATTTACAGCAGAGATGTAATCTTTAGAGAGGTAAAACAATGTGTGGGAACTGCTGAAGATCTTGAGTAGTCAAAGAAAATTCAGTTTGATGTGACTACAGTAGAGCAAGAGGAGGAGATGTCTCCTAATGTTGCTGCAGAGACTGAAAATTTAGAGTCTGTAGAATCTGACCATGAAGATAAACTTGATAGTGTGGCTGATGAGGGTTCTGTGGATGATTCAGAGGATGATTCTGATGATGGAGTTGTGGTGCCATCAACTTTGAGGAGATCTACAAGAGTTAGAAAGGCACCAATTCGTTTCTCTCTAAGTGCCTTGAGTGGATTACATGCTTTGAATGTGATTGGTGATGAACCTAGGAATGTAAATGAAACAAGAGCCATGGAAGATGCAGATTTGTGGGAGATTGCGATGAATGATGAGATGCAGTCACCGGACAAGAATAGTACATGGATCCTATGTAAATTGCCTAAGGATAGAAAGGCAATTGGTTGCAAGTGGGTGTTCAAAAGAAAGTTGCAGGTAGATGGGACAATTGCAAAGTATAAGGCGAGGCTCGTTGCAAAAGGGATTCTCGCAGATTGAGGGTGTTGATTATGGTGAGATTTTCTCTTATGTGGCTAAGTTAACATCAATAAGGTATGTTCTATCTGTTGCTGCTGCGTATGATCTTGAAATTGAGCAACTTGATGTAAAGACGACATTCTTACATGGAGATTTAGAAGAGGAAATTTACATGAGGCAACCTGAGGGGTTTGTATGTAAAGGGAAGGAAGACTTGGTGTGTAGGTTGAGGAAGTCTCGGTATGGGCTTAAACAATCACCAAGGATGTGGTACCAAAAGTTCGACTCCTATGTCCTTCAGCATGGTTTTAGCCGCAGTAACGTGGATCACTATGTGTACGTAAAAATGTTAGAAAATGTCTTTGTTATTTTAACCTTATATGTAGATGATATGTTGCTGATAGGGAATAGCAAGGAGTTGATAAATTCTTTGAAGGGTTTGTTGGCTGCACAATTTGACATGAAGGATCTTGGGGTTGCAAATTTTATTTTGGGTATGCAAATTACTAGAGATCGTCAGAGTTTTAAATTGTGTTAGGGTAGAGAAAGTACATCGAGGAGGTGTTGAAGAAATATAACATGGTAGACTGCAAACCTGTGAAGACTCTATGACTTTGGGAGTGAAATTGTCTACTGATCAGTGTCCTAAGTCTGAGGAAGATGCTAAAGAAATGACACATGTGCCATATGCGAGTGTTGTAGGTAGTTTGATGTATGTCATGGTGTGCACGCAACCTGATATTGCACAAGCAGTGGGAGTTTTGAGTCGCTTTATGTCAAATCCTGGTAAGGAGCATTGGAGTGCTATAAAGAGGGTTCTTAGATATCTGTGTGGGACCTCGGATTTATCATTATGTTATGGAGGCATGGCGATTGGGAATGAGCTAGATGTGATAGGTTTTGTGGATGCTGATTGGGGAGGTGATCTCGATAGTAGGCGTTCCATAAGTGGGTATGTATTCTCTTTATTTGGTGCTGCTATTTGTTGAATGAGTAAAAGGCAAAGTATTGTGGCTTTGTCATCGACTGAGGCAGAATACATGGCATTGACACATGCTGGCAAGGAAGCTATATGGCTTTGAAGATTGAGTTTAGAGCTTGGTTTCAAGCTTGATGCTGTGAAGATTGGGTGTGACAATCAAGGGGCTATTTACTTAGCCAAGAATCCTACCTTTCATTCGTGATCAAAACACATTGACATACAATACCATTTCATCAGGCAAAAGGTGGAGGAAAAATTGGTATTGTTAGAGAAGGTTGATACACTTGTTAATGCTGCAGATTTTCTTACCAAGGCTGTGAGCTTAGCAAAGTTTACATGATGTGTTGATGAGGTAGGCCTTCATTGTGTGAAGTATTCGCCAACTGGGAGAATGTTGGAGTTGTCGACTACTTTAGCATTATTGGGTAACGAAGACGCACTCAGGGGTCCCGCTGTAGGATTTCTTTTAAGTTACTAATTCCTTATTGGGTTGGGCTTAGGAATAAGAATCCTTGTAAAATTAGGTTTAGTCTCTTAAACCTAATATATAAACATACTTTTCTCTTGTTATGGGTGTGATAGCAAATCATAGGGCAATTCATTCATTGTAAACGAGAGAGGTGAGACATATTGCAATAATATTGACTCAGCTGGACGTAGCCCACATTGGGTGAACTAGGGCAAATCACGCGTGTTATTTTCTTTGTTTACTGCTTGATTTGTTTTACTATTATATTTTGTTCCTGTTGTTGTCTCTATTTCATTCACTTATTGCATGTGTTGGCAAATCAGGAAGAAGAAGAAGAATTAAAAATTTGATTTGCTCTATATCATTCATGTGATTGTATATATATTTTTATTACAAACATTAATGGTGTGTGCACACGCTTTTATATTCATTTTTTGCAATTCATGCATAATCAATTTTTTTTTAATCGTATTTAATCTTATTTAAGAGATAAGTCTCAGTACATCCCCCTCTATCTAGGTGTCATTTTTTTTTTCAATTAATAAAATTTCTCTCGTACCATCGATGTTTGCTTAAAAAGTTCAATAATATAAAATTTTATTTATGATGTAATTGAAATTTACTTATTATAAAATAGGTGTAACAAGATTTTTCATATTAAGATAGAAAACGATGTCATTTTATTACTAATAATATTGTTATCTCAAAAGATATTTAAATTCAAATATGTTTGTTATATTTAGTTCACATAAGAACATTATATTTACTTTCTAAAGTTGTGCATTTACACAAAGGAATATGCCTTGAGAGTGACAACAAACGAACGAAGTGGACATACATTCAATCGAGAAAAAGTTAGGCCTGGACAATTCTAGGAATTGAAATTAAAATCTCTTAAATTGAAAAATGATAATTTTATTGTGATCCACAAAGGTGAAAATTTAGTCAAATGTATTGTAACATCAAGGTGGAGTCCACAAGGTGGAAAAAAGAGTCCATTATTGCAGGATCATGTGGTTAATCTCACACTACAACTCAAACATCACTGCATAATTACATGAGGAATCCAGGTCAGCATTTCGGAAAAATTAAGACAATAAAAAAAAATCTGAGTCATCTGGCCGACAGTTTGTCCTTTGGAGCATTATCTGTAGGCTGGTGGAGTCCCAACCACACCATCTGTCCTCTCAGTAAAAAGTTAATGAAACTCTTATTTGAAATTATCAGAGCATCAAAATGTATTATTCTCATATAAAATTATTTCTGCTTACCCTCTAAACTCTTATTTGATAAAAATGTATTTTCTTATGTTATTAATCATCATAATGTGATCCATATTAGAAATAAAACCTCTTCACATAAATTAAGGTGATCCATAAATGTTATTGTTTTATTACCATTGTTGATATTTTTTTATTAATATAAAATCAAGATTTTTGCTCGTACTATATTATTAATAAATCGCAATTTATTAGTGAGAAAGAAATTTTGATGAACTCCTTTCGTTTCGTTTTCCCCTTTTTTGTTTACATATATTTGACTAATTTGTTTTACACCTTATTAAATAAAAAATTATGTGTTATTTTAGAATGTCAAATTTAGAATGTAATAATATTCAAGATTTTAAATGTCATTTTTTTTTTTCAAGAATAGTAGATATCGTAATACCTAGAGACTTGCCATACCATCGTTTCTATTTAATTTATTCATCTATAATACATTAAAGAGAAAAAATATTAAAGTCTTTTTTCTGAAATTAAAATATATTATAAAACCATCATACATTCCTTTTATGTATAATAATCCCCCTTTTTTTTTTACAGATTAATCATCATTTATAATAATAATAATAATAATAATAAATCTTTGGATTTATTAAATTTAATCACCGACCTGAATAGTCAAACCTTGCTTCATTTAATCGATCACCCGTATTAAAGTAAATAAAACTTAATTAATCAAGCCTTAATAAAAAAAATCAAATAACTTATTATATCCTTTATTTAATCAAAAATAGTAAAATATTGTATCTCGACTCCAAACTTCAGCATTAATTCTTCCACAAAAACTAAACGACTTTCTTGCTTGTTTTGCTTTGCTTTCATACTCATCTATTGTTCTCTTCTTTTGATAACCAAAACCATGGCCGAACTTTTGCTCTCTACAACCCTTCCTGTGTTGTTTGAAAAGCTTGCTTCCACGGACTTGTACAACTTTGCATTTGACGGAGGGGTACGTTCGAAGCTGAAGACGTGGGAAAGGAAGTTGGAGAAGATTGAGGCTGTGCTCACCTCTGCGGAAGAGAAGCAACTCACCAACAGAGCTGTGAAATTTAATTATATTATAGAAAAAATTCCATGCTAAATTAAACACACTAATCTTATTGCTTAATTAATATCTGAAAAGCTTGAAAAGACAAAACGAATTAACGTGTCCAGAAGATAAGTTTAAAGTCCCAGCAGCTGATAATGAAATTCAGGTACAGCTTCATTCTTGTGGCCCATTATTTCCAAGGAAAATACTTGTTAATACATTCTTGCATTCCAAAGATGCCTTCAGCAGCTTCAGACCCTAACAAAAATATAGATAAAATCCCATCTCAGCTCAACTTTGCTCATAGTAATATTATTTATAAGTACCATGTATACATTCAATAACCAATTGCAGAAAAATTGTGTTTGAAATACCTCTTCAACGCCGAAATCAACAACCTTCTCTTCAAGTGAACGCACATCCTTAACATGAAACCTGTTTAGCATGGTGATGCTAGAAATAGTAGACATTGGCTTCAACTCCAAGTTATCCATTATCATATATGTCACCACCGCTTTAACGAACCCTCTCTCAGCCACGACGGTGGTGCTTTTGCCCGTTGGATTACTACTAGCGTTTACATAAGGAACCTCATTGGTCATTTTCCTCTCGCACTGCGGACAAACCAGGTTTGGAATTTCAGCCACATATGAATTGTGGTATGGACACATGTAAACATATCGAGTTTTCAATTCGTGATCAGATAACAAGAGGGGCATATCAGTATAATAGACTGGAGATTTGGGATTCAGAAGAGAGCTCTTGTTTTGGGTTGGCTGAATATATGTTTCGTTGAGATGTTCAATACTCTCATAAAGATTACCTAAACAACCCACCATGTTTTTCTTTTCTAAGAGCCTGACAATAGTGCCAGCAGGCAAAGAAAGTAGGTAGAAGAGAAAATCTGCAAACTCTTTGCCTGCTTCAGCAAATAGGACTATTTTAGCTTCTTTGTCAACAAGAAGCTTCAACTTTACTTTGGTATCTGCCATGGTTAATTTTGGAGTGTTTAAAACAAGGTAACTGATGATGTGGTTTACACACATTGTAAAGCTAAATATATAGGGAAGTAAAGTTGATCAGGAACAGTAATCGTGAGCAGTTAATTTGTCATGAAGATGTTATTATGCCTAGTTTCAAAGTTTTAGGATAATGCCTCCACCTTTTCGAGCAGAAATCTTACAATTTGGTCCATCAACTGTGCTATCCATTTCAGTAAATAATTGATCATAGAAATATGATATATAACCTAATTGTTTCCCAGTTAGTATAATCAATGGATTAGATGTGTAATCCGCAAAACGAAACAAAAATTCGGATTGCTGCAATCTAATTTTAGTTCTGCCACTAATATTTTCGAGACCTCTGTTATTTTTTATTTTTATTTTTCCTCCAATTTTTAGAATGATCTATAGAAATGTGAAAACCTAATAAGCAATTAATATACCAGTCAAAGACAATAATCTTTATCTTTTTTAAAAGCATGAGATGTAAATAGCTCTTAAAGAATAAAGAAAATCAAAGCATTCCCAAAAAACAATATGATTCAAGCAACCAATAAAATAAAGTAAAGTTGGGTTCCTTGCCTGCAATCTTTGAGATAAGTATTCATCTACACTCTATTACTAAGTTGAAGAAATAATGTAAACTTACTAAGTCTCAAAGCTGTTTCTATCATCCAGGAAATACTAAATTTTAAAAGCAAAGGAGTCATAAGGATGAAGAAAGCAAAATGGGTAAGGAAAAAGAGAAAGAATAAAACTACATATTAATGATTACTTTAGACTTCACAATCCAACAACTAAAAGCAGGGGCGGATCCAGCCTTGTTTTGCCCACTCTCAATTTTTTTTTTTTTTTTTTTAAATACCAATTTGTATAATTTTTAGATTTTGACCCACCCCAACAAAAATATTAATGTACAAAAATATTAATATATAATTAATTTTTATTTTGGTCCACTCTAACAAAAATTTTTAGATCCGTTACTAACTAAAATTTGATGATCTTGAAATATTATCCGTTCTTTATCTCAAAATGCTGAAGAATAAAGTAAATATTGTCTGCTCAAGCAAGGTCTTTATTTATCGAATAATCAAAGTAATTTTTGTACTTTTAAGCGAAGATAATGTAGTGCTTTATTATTGTTCTTAGTCATCCTTTAATTATTATTGTTGACATAGAATAAAGAACTTATGAATATTCACAAAAATTAGCCCATGCTACAATTATAAAAAAAGTGGAGCTATTGACACCCCCACTAATGGACTAAAGAAACCACATATCTTAAAACATGAGTCTATTTATTACATTATTTGAAAAATGTTATTCTGAAAAAATGTTATAAGTTGAGTTGAGTTAAATAAAATTGAGTGGGATTTGAATTTAAAAATATGTTTAGTAAAATAATATCAAAGTTAAATAAAATGCTCAATAATTTTTTGGTATATTTTTTGAAAAAGACTTTTAAGACAAGATAATTGTTTGATACATTTTCTATAAATATTTATTATTTGATTCTAAACTTTTTCTTTTTTTCAGTTTAATAATATTAAATAGTTGTTTGGTAATTTTTTTATTCACTAATTTAAAAAAAAAAATGTCCATAATAATTTCAACTATTAATACATAATTTAAAAACTAAAAATTAAGTACATTACAATATCAAAGCGACGGTGCCATAAAGGAGTCATACAACATATCTAAATAAGAAAGGATACTATCCAATGGAAAATTGTGATAATATTAAACATAAGAACAATAGTTAAACTGTAAAATACATCAAACGATCCTAAAACCAAACTAGAAGGACACAGAAAAAAAGAGTGTTCTTTTTCTCCAGTTTATTCAGAAAGCAAAACTACAATAACAAAAAACACAAACACAAACACAAACGCAACACAAGGCTCACAGAGCACGGACGATTGTGCTCGTTGGCTTAACTCACTCATTTCCCATTTGCAAAATTCTCTCTATTCCACCCCAAACGTCTTCCTCAACTCTGCAACAAATCCCAAAACTTTCTTCTCATCATGGAGTGACTTTGCAACACTTTCCTTTTGCATAGATCTCTTAGCCCACGCAATGAATTTGGGGCACTCTGCTGCTACACTGAACTTGGCATATTGCATAGTCTCATATGCGTGAAACCGACAGTATAAAGGGATTGAAGATAAGTCGACATACCCAAAGGTCTCGCTTCTAAAATAAGGATTGTCTCCGAGCTGCCCTTCGAAGGTCTTGATTACTTCAATGAATTCCTTCTTTGCGGCCTCCTGCACTTCACCTGTTGAGGTCCATGTCTTCCTCCCCGCATCATATAACTGCAATTTTCCTTACTAGGTTAGCATCTTTGTTCTGAAATAGGCAAGATTTTAACACATCCAGTTTCATCAAGCAAAACCAAGAGAGAAGCCTTGACATTGTTTGACTTTAGTTAATTATTTTCTCTGATTAACACATACAATGAAAATGGAGAGAATGAAACCTCCATTCATTTCAAGCAATCACACCATTTATGTAAATCATGAACTGGGTTGGTTCAGAATCATGCCAATCCAAAAATTCTGAATTCACTGAAATGAATTCCATATATTCTTGAAAAATGAGCATGACCTCTCCTACAATTCATGGCCAAAACATTTTAACACATCCACTATCCATTTCAGGGCCAAGCAAAACCAAAATTAGTGCCTTAACATTGTATGACTTCATTCAATTATTATCTTCAGCTAACACACACAATAAAAATGGAGTGAATGAACCTCCATTCATTTCAAGCATTCACACCATTATTTAAATCATGAACTGGGTTAACTCAAAATCATGCCAATCCACAAATTCAGAATTCAGTAAACTAAATCCTATAAATTTCTGAAAAAAAGGACATAAATTTCTCCTACAAACTTTCATTGAGGGCAAAGAAAATTCATTCAATCAATCACAAATTAAGCAACAAAAAACTTAAAAATACTTCAATTTTACCTTTTGTCAATGATACAACCCAGAATCTAGCTTGAGCTCGCTCATAAGGATCGGAGGGGAGCAAAGGAGCTTTATCCTTCCAAACCTCACCAATGTACTGAACAATGATGGAAGAAATAAGGTAGGCTGGTTACAAGAGAGAGAGAGAGAGAGAGAGAGAGAGAGAGAGAGAGATCGCCCTTCCCGACGGTCGTGATCGGCGGTCGAAGAACGATGGGAGAGAAGAAGAAATGTTTTGGAGTGGAGGGAGAGCGATGGGAGAGAAGAAGAAATGTTTTGGAGTGGAGGGAGAACGATTTAGGGTTGATAAGGAAAGGCCAGGATCAAAGATGGCAGGAGAGCGATGGGAGAGAAGAAGAAATGTTTTAACTTGAATAGGATTGGAAAATTAGAAAACATGTCCAAGGCTGTTTTCATTTTCAGGCAAACAATTTGATTTGAGTATGATTGATTTTCAGATAGGATTGGAATATTAGAATAGTGGCGACGACAATGATCGGCGGCCAATCGGAGTTCGGGATGATGAGGCTTTTGATGTGGAGATGCCGACGACTCTTATGGTGGTGCCAGGGAGGTCGAACTGCGTCGAAAGCTACCAGACTCAAGGAGGAAGCCGTCGGTCGCGCGAACAAGAGGTGGACGGCGAGAGACAAACGACAGTTTGGCGGAGACTGCAAATGGCAGGGTTTTGTCATCACTCTCTCCCTCCCCAACTTGAACAGAAATGGCTGTGAATCTTAAGACTCCGATCCACCACTCTCCCTCTTTAGCTTCATCTCCTCAATACCTTATGCGTTTTCCTCAAAACCCTCTTCAGTCTCCTTCATGGAAACTAACCTTCTTAAGCAATTATGCTCCAAAACAATTAAAGGAATAATGTCTTTAAACAGAGTCTCTTCCCATTCTGCAGTCTTGATATCTTTTATTGGGCATATATAATAGTCATCTTTCCGCACTATTTCATTCTCACAATTATAATTCTCATCATCCGTCTTCGCATTCTTGATAGTAATCTTGTTGAAAATGTATTCTCATACATTCCCACTATCATAATTCTCATCATCGATGGATGAATTATGAAATATAGAGATTAGAGAGGAAGTCACGTTGTACTCAAACCAAGTTTAATTATGTAAAATTAGGCTGGACCCAATAGACCAAATTAAAGCACTAAGGCTTTATAAGTCTCTGCTATGTTATGTAACATTAAGCTTGGTCCAATAAACAAAACTAAAGCCTGTTGCCCAATTGTATAACTTTGGGTTTTTTTAGTAGACCAAACTAAAGTTCTCCGGCTTATTGGCCTCTACCAAATTATGTATTAGGCTTGTTAGGCCTCTGCCCAATAATGCAATATACAGCTTAGTTTGGTTTACTAGAACAAGTTGTTCATTGGTTCTGTATAATTGTTGAGAAATAAATTGGATGTTTAAAGTGATAGCAGCAGACACTGGAGTCCTGGTGGCTTAAAGTCGCTTACTATCGCAAAGAGTGAGGAAAGATATTATGCAGATTAATCTAATGCCAAATTAGAGGAACTTTGTTTCCATCGTTTGCCATATCAACCGACTTGAATTTAGCTTACAAAGGGTTGAATTGCCAATATGCTACAAATTGATGGTTTACATTCAAATTTGGAGTCTATAAGAACCATTCAAATTTATTGCAGTATACAATCCCAGAAAAGAACCTAATCTAATGTCATTTCTCAATGGAAAATAATGTGGATGATGCAGGCTTTAAGATTCAAGTATCGGTTAAGATAGTTAAACGGTACTCTGTTAAGGCTAAACATCATAACTTTGTTAAATTTTGTTATTATAAGGACAAGAAAACTCTTCTGTTAAAAGTCTCAGTCAATACCGTTAGTTTTAAATCAAACACTGCATTTCATTAATAAGTCTTCTTCTTAAAATAGTAACACAATTAATGTATGTATACTAGTTAATTGCATGAATCAATCAAAATTTTTCATCTTTAACAAACAAATTAAGCCTTAAGACCATTTTATGTTATGAACTCTGCATATTAAGACAACTAATTAATGTATGAATCATTCCGAGAAATTTCCAAAAAATTTATTTCTTTCCCACCGCAAAATCATTGTCTAATCCTTTTCTATTAATTCTACATTTCATTGAATAATATACTATAGTATTTCAAAATAATTTAAGAAAATAATCAAGTATTTTCTTTGAATTAATTATTTCCAAACACTTAAACACTTATAATCAGTCATCAAGAGGTCAGTTGCCTAGGACACTCAAAAAACTTAAAACTTTTTTTGGAGCAAGGAGCTCAAAACATTATCATCAAGAAGTCAGTACTTACCTAAGGCACTTACATCTCTCTGTCTCTAATAATCGGTTTTCATAGATAAAGTCAATTGGTAAGTCCTTTGATAATAGCATGTGTCTTCGGAAAATTGATTTAAGTTATTGTGAAAACCTTGACTCCATACTTTTAGGTCTACACAATCTTACTTGTCTTGAGTATATTTGGATAGAGTGATGTCCAAAATTGTTGGTTGGAGATGGTGTTCCCACCAACCTAATTAAACTTGCCCTTATCAAAGATCTGAAATTCGATAATCCAATGATAGAGTGGGAGTGTTCTATATCTGTGAATATGAAGATGCAGCATCGATTTTACAAGAAGACAAGGGAATGTTCACCTCTCTTAGAAGCTTGATGATTTGGGAAAGCGCAAAGCTCAAATCCATTCCATCCCTTAGCAGCCGGGAAGATTTGATAATATGGACATGCCCAAACCTCAAATCCCTGAAAAGCCTGCCATCCTCCCTTCTATTTTTATCTAATTGAGATTGTCCATTGCTAAAAAGAGAAGTGAAAAAGGGGTAAAGGAAAATATGATTCAAAGATTGCTCACATTCCTAAAAGTTAAAATAGATGGGGAATTCATCTTCAATTCAAAGGAGGAAGAAAGAGCTTAATCATTTGATTTTGGTGCATGGAATGAGAAAATCATCTCATTTTATCCAAGGTTTGTCATTTTCTTAATTACACCTCAGCTATTGTCCAGAACTTTATCTAACAGAATTATTGTTAATCTCACAGCTAGAAATAATTCAATTTCTCTGTAGGAAGCTCAATTCTTTCTTCAGAATCATGAAATTATGTAACTAAAGCATTATGAAGCACAAAATAAAGAGATTCACTGAAAATAGCTTAGTCATTATAACAAGTCAAGGAAGGTAAGCGAAATTTTTTAACTTTGATGACAAGTCTTTTTCTTAAGCAATAAAGATCGGCTCACAACCCAATTTTATAAACTTTCTTTCACAATCCTGAAATAGCAACTTGCAACTGATCAGTTCGTAATTGGATAGACGAAAACCATTTGCAAGCTGACCAATTGAGAGTTTTCAGGCCAGGATTGTGAGATTGGGTTGTAAGTGTAGTATTGTCCCTTTTTTCTCAAGTGGTGTTTGATTAAACTTCTATTAAATACCAAATGCTTGATCAAGGGTAGAATTAATACTTTTAATCTATTTCTTGCTCAATACTATTTCTCCGAATGTTCTTGGTCAAGTTAGGCCTTGACTTGAGTCAGTGTCCAGTTTAATTAAATTAAATATATCAATTAGGGTCGCTTTCTCAGGTATAATTTTAATTGAACTCTTGGCTTGGCTAGAGGCTAGTAATCAATTAGGGTATTTTTCTGATTTTCTTAGATCAATTAGGATATGTTTAAATATGTGCAAACCCAAATCACTTAGAGTGCGTTTGGTTTATTATTTTGGCTAGGATTTTGGTGATAATATTGGATAGTTGAATAGGAGAGTATTACGAGATAAAATTTAAAAATTTATGAAAAAGCCCCCAAGGTTTGCTAATTTAATAAACACCCCAATATATTAAAATATTATAAAATGACAAAAACAGCCCTAACACCCAAAGTGCTAGATTCCGGCCACCACTGTCAGAATCTAGCCAGAAAATTGGATAACCACAAAATCCGGTCGGATCTGGCGGGTATTCGATCGATATGGCCTTTTCCGGCCATATCCACTACGGATTTAACCGGAAAAGGCCAGATCTAAAGCCGGATGTGGCCTTCGACGGCCGAAAAAGGCCAACTTTGGCCGTCATTGTCTATCAACGATGGCTAAGATTTGGTCGTCCTTGACAGTCAACGCCGACCATTTTTTTGGCCGTCAGCTCTAGCCTTTTCTAGCCATATCTGGCCATTACCGACCATTTTCGGTGGTCGTGTGACTGTTGTGACAGATTCCGGCTACCACCGGCGGTGGTTGCCGAAATCTGGCAAGTATTGTGGATGGGGGTATTTTTGTTAGTTTTTAAACTTTTTTTCTGGGAGGTATTTAATGAGATTAATAAACTTATGGGGTCTAAAAGTAATTAAAAAAATATACTAATATTTTGGGAATAACGTGCCAAACAACATTTGAATAATAAGATTGGGAATATGGATAAAAATAATAAACCAAACGCACCCTTAGGTATTTTCTAAATTAATAAAAATAAATAAAAGAATTTTGACAAAATTAATGAAAATAACAAACTTTATTTATGATTTGCTCGATCTCTTTTAAATTAAGGGGAGGAAACTAATTACTTGATAATTGAAATAAGGAACTTCTGAGATACAGATTCCTTAATTAACTACAATTACTTAACATCAGCCCATATATCCTTCACTTCAATCTTCATCCTTCCTCCCATGGCTTCATCTTCCATAACAAAAATGCCCTTATCCTCAACTTTAACATTCTTATGCTGAACAAACTCAATCCAATCTACACAAAGTAAATCTCCTACAATGTCATTCTGTTGAACCGAGCAGCGAAATATCCACAGCCCACCTGCGTCATCGTGAACATGCATATCCATTAAACGGTCTTTCTCAAAATCTATTAAACCCATGAAATTGGTTGGAATGAATAAGCTTCTTGTCACATCCATTTCAGTAAGAAACTTTGAAAAGATCGTTGCCATTGCTAGCACTTAATTTGGTTCTTTTTCTACCTTCAACAAGAATTTATATGCATGCGCTTTCAATGAGTTCATTATATATTTTTTTCTATAAATTTGAGAAATTTCTCTGGTCATGCCATGAAATTTAGAGAAGATTTCACTATTCTGCATCACCGTGTTCATAATAAAAGTGATGTAGTTGACTTTAAGTCACTTTCCATGAATTTAATTGTTTTTATGATGTTGACCAAGTGACTTTAATAGCAAGTTCCCTTGTTTCCTTGCAGGGATGCATGAGAAACTACCATCTTTGAAAGGGCATTGATTGATTGATAAGGTGATCTCTTTTTCATTCAGCAAATTAATTTGGTTACTCCACGACATTTCCAGATTTAAATAATTAATTATCCTCTCACATCATTCATCATAAATGTTCATGTATTGTTTAAAACTCCACGACAGACTATAGTTTTGAGTGGAATACGCGTTTCTTTACCAAATTAATTAGATCTACTGTTATGATGAAGACAGATAGAAGCTGGGTTTCTTAGCAAAAATTGTAGTTCCAGCTTTCTGTTTAGTGAACTAACGGTACAAGGATAGAGTTGCGTGGAATACTGCAGGAAGTAACGGAAAGCACAAAACGTTGTGGTCCGTTAGTATCAAAGACAGAAACTGTCCAGTTCAATACACAAATCAAGTGTGTTAAAAGGTTCTAGGCTCAAGGAAGAAGAAGAAGACCTGATCCTACGGTTTTGCAGGAGCCCACTTAGCAACAGTTTCCATCAAAAACAATTGTCCATACACCATTTGGCCTGCAACTCTAGCAAACTCTAACCGTCCTCAATTATCAGAAACCGGGTTTGAGTTAGCCTCTGGAGGAACAAAGACCCTCGACATTCCTGCTCAATGGGCAGGCCGTTTCTGGGCTCGAACTAGATGTTCTGGCAGCTTCACTTGTGCCACTGCAGACTGCGGCTCAGGCCAAGTCCAATGCAATGGTAAAAGTGGAGCCACACCTGCTTCCCTAGTCGAGATAACGTTCCAAGCAGACGATGGACAAGATTACTACAATCTTAGTCTCGTTGATGGCTTTAACCTTCCTGTTTCAGTTGCCCCACAAGGTGGGTCTGGTACTAGATGTACACAAGCCACTTGCTCAAACAATGTAAACGCAGCTTGCCCAGAAAATCTGCGACTCATAGGATCCGATGGGAATGTGATTGGTTGCAAGAATACCTTGGATAATGCTACGTTTTTCAGGAGCCAGTGCCCTAAAGCTTATAGTTATCCTCAAGATGATTAGGTTGTGCGTGCATGTACTGTTGGGGCTAACTACGTTGTTACTTCTAGTCGGTCGTGCGCAATGACACTAGATTCCGACAGTGGTGGCCAGATTTAGCAATTATGGGTGGGTGGGGGTGTTTTTATCAATTTATAAAACTTTTTTATTAGAGTTGTTTAGTTAAATTAACAAACCTATGAGGGCTTAAAAAACTGAATATTATTAGATAAGATTTTGAGAATAGAGAAATAAATATGCAATTTTTTTAAGATATGAATAGAATATTTTCAAAATAAGAAAGCAAACGTAGCAAAAAATGTTAGGTAATACTTATAAATACAATGACCCAACAACTAATATAAATTAAATAAATTAGAGAAGATGTTATGTTGGTTGTCACATATGTTTATAGAAATAGTTTGTAGACAAGTCAAAGGCAAAGGAAACATTGCATGTGATGTCAGTAGAGTCCCACTAAGAGAAAATACTTTTAATAATAATAATAATAATAATAATAATAATGTTTTAACAAAACTAAAATAAGAGTAACGGATTTGAATGGTAGATTAATCAAAAAATTAAAATGGAAGTAAAATTTTAATTTAGATTAGGTTATGGAAATTTAGAGTTAGAGTTCATGTTAGATTCAATGTTAAAATTCAAAAACATATATATAAAGTAAAATATGAGCAAATTTAAAAATTTGATTATCATTTTCAATAATTTAGATATAAATTAAATTTGTTAGGACAAAAAATAAATTTTAAATTAAAGGGTGAAAATCAATTAGGTGGAGGCTAAATATAATAGATTATATCCAAAGTGAACTAAAATGGCCAACAACAGCAATCTTTGAGCTATGAAATGCCTCGTGTCACAAACCCAATAGGAACGGTTTCACTAAAAGGTGACCGTATCGAGATTCCATAATATCACGTTTTACTCGTTTTTGTCTTGGTTGATGACATGACTCTATTTAGCATGTTTTTAAAACTTAATTTATTCCTTTTGTTTTGTTATTTTCACTGTCTGTCATTTAAGTCTACACGAAGGATGAATACGCTTAGGGCATGTGATTGTGGTCAAAGTGTTGTGGAAGGCTTGTGTGAATGAGAATAAGTCCTCTAAATTAGAAATTGATTTATCGATGAATTTATTGAAATCTAATATATGTTTTGTTTACAATCGAGTCATATAATCAAACAAAAATTATACAAAATTCATACAAAATAAATATTATGTTCTTTGTTTTTTGATTAATTGTATAACTTAATTGTAAATATAACATTATTCTTTCTTAAAAAGTTATCGTGAAAGCGCTTTCATGGTTTCTAGAACAATATATTTATTTTTTTTTCTTTTTAAATTAATACTTTTTGAAGTCTAAGTGTAGGACCAGGATTTGCGCACAGTAGAGCTGTGCATTTGTGGGATTGAAAAGGCAGGGTCTCTACTCTCTATGCTAGTCCGTTTGGAATTAAATTATTTTTGGTCCTTGTCTTTAAGCTAAATTCCAAAATTTACCCTCCCTTTCTTGCTTCTTAAATTTATTAATGAATTAAATCCTGTATGTTAACAAATAGAGGCTATGTCACCATTCATGATCTTTACCTTACTCGTATATCAATTCTAAAGTAAAGGATTTCTCTAGTAGATTGTTTTAATTAATTAATTGATTGATTAATTAAAGTTATTATTACGAAATGGAACTGTTACTTTTAAGTCCTTTATCAATCATTTCAATATAACCTTTGATTTCTTGCTTTCCATCACTTTTTTAATCCACTCTCCATTTTTTTGTCTCGTTTTTATAAAAACTTAGAATTTTAAATTATCATGAATTAATTTTTATTATAGTTTATATTTATTTACTTTTATTGGAATAGATGAAAGAATAAAGGATGGAAAAAGTAACGTTGATATGCATTTACAAGTATTGTTATGAAATTATATATATACATTATCCAATTAAACAAAACATTAATTAAAATAGTTGATTTTAACTTTAATTATACAAATAGATCTACTACTTAAGTTGAGTTTTCCATCATTTTTGCCAAATAGCTTGAAATTTTGCAGCCCATCTCATTCATTGTTTTAAAGATAATATTCATCAACAAATATTTACATATTTATTGCAAATATTATTATTGCGATGAGACTTGGGAGCACATCTCATCTATAATTAAAAAAAAAAAAAAATCCCTTTAAACTCCATTTAATTCCTAGAAATAATCTTTTAAGTTTAATTGAGTTTATTTTCCTTAATTTCAAACTTATCTAAATTTTTGTTTTATATTATATTTTCCGAATCAAACTTCATTAGGTTTTTTCCTTACACTTTTTCCCCCTCAATTTCTTAATTTCAACTTTTTTCTCTTCTTCAAATTCAAATTTATTCTGTTATGTTTTCCATAGTTTTAATTTTATATTTTGTCAAACAAACAACTACTTAAAAAAAAAAAAAAAAGGTTTCAATGGTTATGAAAATTTAAGATTAGGGTTTATGCAAAATTTAATATTAAAAATTGAAACAAAAATATAAAATAAAATATAAATATATTTAGAAATTATAATATTATTTCTAGTAATTAAATTAAGGTTAAATTTGTTAAAAAATATAAATTAAAATAAGGGATAAAAATCAATTAGGTGAGAGGCTGAAAATCGCTTTCCTAACTTATTAATATACACAGAAATTAGCCAATGCTGCAATTATGAAACAAGGTTGATTCCGGAAGTGGACTACAATGACTAGAACAACCATCTTTGACTGATGAAACGCAACGTGCCGCAAACCCAGTTTCCAAAGGGTGACCGTATCTCACGCTTTACCCGTTATTGTCTTGGTTCATGCCGTGGCTCTATTTTGTAGGGTCAGTATGTTTTTAAAACTTAAATCGTTCCTTTTTTTTTTTTGATATTCTGCGTCTTTATGCTTATCGTTTTGGAATTAAATTACTTGTGGTCCTTGTCTTTAACCTAAATTCCAAATTTCACCCTCCTTCTCTTGCTTTTTTTTTTAAAATCTAACAACTCCAATTTCCAATTTATTTATTAATTAAATTATTATAAATATTTTTATATAGGAAGTTGATAGGAAATTTTCGTTAAAAATTGTGAAAGAAGCACAATTCAGTTATATTATATAGATTTAGTGTTTCTTAATTGACGATTGACCAATACATTGAATTAATTCATCAATGCAATTTGAAAGCTAAAATTTTTGTGTGAATTCTGACAAAATATTTGGAATATAATATTATTTCATAAGGAACTAGTTGTGAAAATTAATAGTTATTTTGATGATTTATTAGAATCTAATAATAAATACTGAGATTAAAGATAATGTTTTCCTTATGAATTTTTATTGCTTTATTTTTTTCCCCTTTTTCAAAACTCATTAATTCTACATTTCATTAACTAATATACTATAGTATTTCAAAATAACTTAAGAAAAAATCAAGTATTTTCTTTGAATTAATTATTCTCAAACACTTACTCACATATAATCAGTTGTAAAGTAAGTTGATTAGATTTATTATTCTAAAATATCTCCACTAATAACGAATAAGACATAAATTCACGAAATATTCTCAACTTACACACCTATAACCGCGTCTTGTGCCTCATCTTTGTCTTTTTAATATTGAAAATTGTATTCTTTTCTCGCAATTAATTAATTTATAGAGTTCTACATAAACTCTACTTAATTAATAATCAAATTTAAAGATTGTACATATATAATAATGTTAATGAATTTTGGTGCAATTTTTTCTTTCACAAATAACAATCAAAGTAATATCAATTTAATTTTCTATATCTTCGAACAATATAACAGAAAAAATGAAAATAATATAATTTATTAAAAAATAAAATTACACATTCGTGTATGAGCAAAATGTTCTATAAAATATAAATAATCAAAGGTTTTTATATGATCACTTTCATCTCTATATAGTCAAAGCAAAAAAACGAAAAATAATTTATAATATGATGAATAATAACAAATAATCATCTCTAATTTATGTTAATTATTCAATTATTTGAGTGGTTCCCACTTCTCACTTCCCACACTAAAAGAGTAAAACATTTTAATTTAGCACTTCAATTTCAAGCATTCTTAGAGAAAATTAAACACCTTCTGTCTTTGCTTGCGCTCATCTTTCTTGTGACAACATCCGAATTTCTTTCTTCTTTTCGACAACTGAAACCATGGAAGTTGTGGCGGAGCCCATTGTCTCTGTGCTCTTTGAGGAGTTGGTTAAGAAATTGGGGTCCGTTGAGGTGCGGTCATTTGCTCGTCAACTCTTTGGAGGGGTAGATTCAGAGTTAGAAAAACTGAAAACTACGTTGGAGAATATTAAAGACCTGCTTACTGATGCTGAAGAAAAACAACTGTCAGAAAGAGCTGTGAAAAGGCGGCTTGCCGAACTTCAAAACTGGGCTTATGATGCAGAGGACATACTGGATGAGTTTGCCTATGAATTAGCTTTGCGTCGCCACCTGAAGGCAGAAGAACGTAAGGCTAGCTCCAGCAAGGCACTGAACCTCGCTACTAGACCCAGGTTCAATTTCAGCATGTGGTTAAAGATCAAAAAAATCAATAGCCAGTTGGAACAACTCCGCAAGGAAGCATCAAAAGACTTTATTCTTAAGAAGGGGATCACAGGAGGGACATCAAGTGCTGTTTCAGAGGGCCTAAGACCAGAGGAAACTTCAAGCGTCCCACCTGAACAAACAGTTCATGGCAGACATGAAGATGAAACCAAACTACTTGAACTGGTGAAAAATGATCAACCAAGTGGTGCCAATAAATTTCGAGTGATAGCCATCGTCGGCATGGGAGGGATCGGCAAAACGACAATTGCTCGAGCGGTGTACCATCACAACGACCTGGAAGGTTTCGAGTTTGACAAAGCATGGGTTTGTGTTTCACAGATTTTTGATATTCTCACTATCTCAAAGAATATCCTTCGGTCATTAAAACACTCTTCATCCTCCAATCCAAATAATTTAAATGAAGCACAAGTTGAACTGCAGAAGGCAGTAAATGGGAAAAAAATCTTGATAGTATTAGACGATGTTTGGGAGGTAGACTACAGAAAATGGGAACAGCTTATGTCTCCCTTCAAAGCTGGTGCACCTGGAAGCACGATGATTGTCACAACACGCGATACATCTGTTGCTAAAAGAATAAGATGCCCTGATTCTGATATTTATGCTTTACAGAGTTTATCCGATGAAGCTTGTTGGTCCTTGTTTTGGGAGCACGCACTTGCGATTGGTGCAGCTGCTAATGTTGATCTAATTGCCGATTCAATTCGTAAGAGAGTTCTTGAAAGATGTAGCGGTCTACCTCTGGCAGCAAAGACCCTCGGTGGTCTTCTACACTCTAAGCCGATTAATACTTGGGAAAGAATATTAGACAGCGAAATATGGAATTCATTTAAAGAAAAAGATGTTATCCCCGTATTAATGTTAAGTTATCTCTATCTCCCTCCGCATTTAAAAAGATGTTTTGCGTATTGTGCGGTCTTTCCAAAAGGCTATGAATTTGAGGAAAATGAACTTATACTTTTATGGATGGCAGAAAGTATCATTCAACAATCTGATGAGCAACTAGACGAGATGGACGAGACAGGTCTGTACTTTACTAATTTGTGTTCAAGGTCTCTTTTTCAAAAATCATGTAATGATGGTTCTAAATATGTAATGCATGATCTTGTCCACGATCTAGCTGAATTGGTTTCTAAAGAATTTAATTTCAGATCTGAGAAAGCCATTATTAAGCTATCAGAAAATGTTAAAAGAATTCGTCATTTTTCTTATCGTTCTGATGGTTATGATTTAAAAAGAAATTTAAAAGCTTAGAAAAACTTACGAGTTTAAGAATATTCTTGCCGATGTATGAAAGTAATTATAGTTATAATTACATAACTGCTATGGTTGTTTTTTATTTGCTGCCAAGTACTATCTTTTGAATGGTACTACATCCCTCATTTACCTGATTCAATTGAAGATTTGATGCATCTAAGGTATCTCAACTTTTCTTACACTGAAATCAAAAGTTTGCCTGAGTCAACAAGCCAATTATTTAACTTGCAAACTTTATTATTAAAAGACTGTTTTCCTCTTATGAAGTTACCTTGCAACATGAGATATTTGACCAATATATATCATCTTGATATAAGTGGTCAAAATTCATTGAAAGAGATGCCGTCAAGAATGAAAGAGTTAAAAAATCTCCGACTGTTAACCGACTTTATTGTGGGGAAGGAATCGAGCTTAAGTTTTCTTCAAGGAGAGCTTAACATTTCAAAATTAGAGAACGTGACGGATCCAAAGCAAATAGGGGGACAAATACTAGGCAATAAGAACAATCTAAACGTCTTGTTACTAGAATGGGGAAATGAATTGTTTGAGGACTTACGGAAAGAGGATGTAGAAATGTATGTACTTGACAAGCTGAAACCTCCAAGCAGTTTAGCAGAACTCACTATCAAGTGCTATGGTGGTCAAAGTTTCCCGTCCAATTGGTTCAAATATCCAGCATCAGTCTCTAATTTGGTGGCGCTCAAATTAGAAAACTGTGAAAAATGCAAATCCTTGCCTTCACTTGAAATGTTGAGCTCACTTTAAGACTTAACCTTCAAAGGAATGGCAAGTCTAAAAAGGATGGATTTCCAAATGCCTTTGAAGTCATTAGAGGTTCTTCTTTTAATGAATTTGCAAGAATGGGAGCATTGGGACACTTGGAGAGGAAATGAAGATGTTGAAAGATTCGCTCAACTTCGTGAACTTTGCATCAAAAAATGTCCCAAACTTACTGGAGAATTTCCTGATCATCTTCCTTCATTGAGAATTTCGCGACTGTCCAAAGTTGATGGTTTCAATCTCAAGTTTGCCAGAAGAATGCAAAGTAAATATTGATTTTTTTAGTTATGGAGTGGTGTGCAATGACAGTTCAATTAATTTTGAAAGCCTGGATTCTTGACGGCTTTCAAATATTCCAGAGGTTGAAAGTAAATTAAAGCAAGGATCCCAAAGAGTAGAATCTTTAAGGATTGACGGCAACGATGAGATGATGGATTCGTGGCAAAATATGCCTGATATTGAGAGGTCATCAGTACAGAGAGGTATGCATGGTCTCACCTTCCTTAAAAAGTTAGAATTAGAGAATTGTAAAAATGATTTTGTTTTCTTTGAAAACACCAATTTTCTTCCCAATCTAAGTGCTCTTACGTTCAATACATGCCAAACTCTAATATCCTTACCCGGAGGATTGAAGCAAAAGAACCTGGAAACATTGAGCATTTGGAGATGTAATTCTCTAAGATCCGTTGATTGTAGCATGCTACCTTCATCTCTAAAAAAGCTTGAGATATATGATTGTGAGAAACTGGAATTTTTGAAGGACTTAAGTACTTCTCGTCTCAAGTACTTAAGAATTTATTTGTGCCATTCTCTCACGAGCGCATTACCACCTGAGTTGCCTGAGACACTCGAAGAGCTTGATATTTTTTCTTGTTATGAGCTTAAAACATTATCAAGATGTCAGTATTTACCTAAGGCTTTTACATTCATCTCTATTACAGTGTGTAGAAAGCTAAAGTTAATCGATGGGTCCTTTGAAAAAAGCACGTGTCTTCAGGAAATTAGATTAAATGATTGTGAAAACCTTGAATCCATGCCTCTAGGTCATTGAGAAATGCCCAAAGCTCAAATCCATTCCAGCCTTAGGCAGCCTCGAAGAATTGGAAATTATACAATGCCCAAAACTCAAATCCGTGCAAAGTTTGCCATCCTCACTTCTGCGTTTAAGGGTTTTCAATTGTCCATTGCTAACAAAACATTGGAATAGGGGTAAAAAAAGATATTGCTCAAAAATTGCTCACATTCCCGTCGTTCTTATAGATGGCAAGTTCATCTTCAACTCAAAGGAGGAAGAAAGTGATTAATCATCTGATTAACCGAGGTTTGTCATTTTCTTAATTACATTTATACTATTATATAGATTCTTATCTAATAGAGTATTTTTTTTTATCTTCTGCCTTCATTTTTCAGTTAACCAAGTCATTATCTCATTTGAACTTGCCAGATAATCTAGCAATAAGAATGTAACAGTGGTGGTAATTTTAAAATTATTCTTATAATATTTTATTAGTCAACTTGTATCTAAAATTCAAATTCAAATTTATTAATTTCATAGATTCACTGTCACAAATATTTATGATTCATTTTATATTTTTCCAATAAATTGATTGTAATCTCTGTAGTCTGTACCATTCTGCATTTGGGCACTCTTAGTGTGTGAAAGGTCACTGAAAAAAAAAAAACTTTGAACTTGGAAAAATTCTAATTTCTGGAATTCTTAATACAAGAAATTATTCATGTTCTTGTTTTTAATTCTACTTTTTCTTGTTTTGAGAATAACTCCTTTGCCTTAAGTTTAAACCTTTTTTACTTTCAGAAGTAGAGTATGGCATTTTGATAGCAGAATACTTGCAAATTGAAAGTGGTTTTTCTGTTCCAAAACTTCACTACTTTGTCATCTCATAGATTTTCTCAACTCTTGTGGTTCAAAGGTAATCAAAAGTAAGCAATATCTGCAATTTTTGATAAAAACATCCGCTAAAGATCCTTGATACGATGTTTTCCAAATCTGGGTTCTACTATTGCATTGGCATGAAATTTTTCCTTCAGATTCATTTTTCTTCAGGTGCCGTTGTCTCCATGTTCACGTAAGCAACTGTTAGAAACTAACTCCTGACATGTCTAATTTTTCCAGATCTAAACTTTAATAATTGGCATGTCTACTTGCACTTTTAGAACCTAACTCCTGGCTTCAGGTTTGGAGCTTTGGATTCCTTGGTGAAATTACAATGCAGAGTCTAGAGCTTCTAGCTGTTGCAGTTGTTAATCAAGGTGCATTTTTCAGCTTCTGTGTATAGTTTCTTTATTGTTGTCTCCTCGTTTTTGTTTTGTGCAAAGAGATGTTGTGAAATGCATCAGAATTTTTTATAGCTTATTTAAGGAATCATTTTTTACTCTCTATGGAAACAACACTATGTAGGATCCCTACACTTAGATTAACATTGCAGTAATCATTGGACGACTTAAAATTTTCCTGTCCAGCTTCATGTAAGTGTATTTGACACCGTTTTTATATATCTAAACTCTTAACAAATGATGATCCCAAATCATTTTCTTTCGCCTATCTCTAATTGCACATTTTGTACCTTACTCTTGGATTTGCATATGGAGTCCACCAAATGATGGGAGAAAACCAAGTAATGGACCTCTATATATCCTGCTAAAGCAGAACAACCAGTCAATGTTCATGTAACACAAGCACGTGAGATATTCTTTCTCGATCCTCTTATGTAGTCTCATTTTTACATTTTCCCAACATCATTGCCCTTTTATTCCAAGAAAGCATGTCTCCTTAATTTATATTTGTTAATATTTAAGGTCATTCCTAAGAATGTCAAGATGAAATCTATACAACGTCAAGGGAGTGATGTGTCACCTTGGATGAAAGACTTGAATAAAATGTCCAACTTTTGTCATTTATGTCATAGCTTGTGATCAATTTGTTTCTGGTGGTACGACATTTCCAACTTGGATAAGAAATTATTGTACTTTTTGAGATCTTTGAAACAATGACAAGTTCATGTCTTTTATGTAGGGTCAAAGAATAAAAATCTCTACAATCTCATCTTATGAACTTTGGAGATCAGAAGGTGTTCTGCTTATATATTTTGCCAGAGAAGTATTGTTGGATTTGATAACTTCAAGTCCTTACCAAACCAACTAAATGGTTTCACATTCCTTAAGTAATTTCTCATTCGAAATGCTCTCAAAGTTGCGTTATTTGTTGTTGGTTTGCCTAGTTGCAACACAAATATTGATATTTGTCCCTTGCTAATCAATAGCTTATAGAAAGAACGGAAAAGGGAAGACAAGGCTAGAAATCTCCTGAAGCAAATGGATGAGATTGAAAAACATTAAACCACTTTAGAAATTTGTAAGTTGTAATTGTACTCTTGTATCAATTTTTTCAAGTATTTTTACAGTTGTGTCGATTTCATAATTCATTTGTCTTTGTTTTGCAGGTGATCTAGCACAATGAACTTATTGTGATGAGGAATGTGAAGCCTGAAAAACTGCAGTGGCAGGGCAGCAGTGTAGGCAAAGGAATTGAGATAGTTTCTTCATCCAAAGCAAATTAATGTTTTCACCATCGCTAGCTTCTTCGGTTATATATAATGTCAGTGATGTTTTTACAATATTGTGTAGGTAAAGAGTGAGTATTGTGAGTTGTGAGGACTTCATTTTTTGGGATTTGTGTGCATAAAGTGGGAGAGTGTTAAAGAAAGTGAGAGATGGGTGTATGAGGGGTTTGGGTTCAGGTTATGAGTTTGGGTGCAACATGAGTGTATTAGATTTGTACTATTATTCTTCAATTCAATCATTCGACTTATATCCTGTGGATGTAGGCATGATTTTGCCAAACCACGTAAATTTGATGTTCTTATGTGTGTGATTGTCTTATTGCCGAACTACTTTCTAAACAGAGTATGCAGTCATCTGGGCTATGGTAAAGTCATTGCAATTTTTTTATGCAGCATGTATTGGTCAAGCTGATTTCATCAAAGTTGAAGCTAGACATTTTGATATAATTATATTATAGGAAGGAAGAGAGATCATTAAAAACAGAGAGAAACATAAAAAGAGATTTAGCATTTTTAGATCATCCACTCCGTGGATATGATGCTTAATGTCTTATATTTGAGGTGATAAGTTTTCCGCTAACTAGTAATAGTACTAAAAGTGTGCTAATATCATGAACAAGGCAATATCCCAAGTAAAGATTGAGCTCAAAACCACAATTCTTAACTATCCAATTTAATTACGATAAATTAGGCGTATTCTATACACCACAATTAATTAGTGCTCATATACAAGGTATTTTCATAGGAACGTCCTTGTGAACAATTCCTATAGTTTTAGTTCGTTAGATTGTTGATGACAGCAAATGGGATCATTTCTTAGCTACTTTCATCACCACTCAAAACAGGCTGGCTTAGAAGCTACATAATAAAAGAAAGCCATCTTTTTGATAACTCATTTGCAGTTTGAATTGTTGAAAAACCAGTAAAAAGGAAGTTAGATCATAAGAATTATTGAAGACCACCTAGAGAAAATTATAGACTTCTGTTTAATAAATTTAATAACTTTTTTCCAGCTTTAGTGAATATAACCTCCGGGAAGACAAACGCTCGTAGAGCAGAAACCAACTCGTGCTCAACATTAGCATCAACTGCAACACACCGTTTGGCATAATAATATTGATATTTGTCCCTTGTTAATTAACTGCTTGGAGAAAGAAAGAAAAGGGAAAACCGGTCCAAAATAGTCCATTCCCCTTTAACAGAATACATATCAAGAAATCTGCTTAAGAAAATTGATGAGACTAAAAAGCATGACTTACCCAGTAACTTCTTGTCTTTACTTTAGTAATTTGTAAGTTGTAATTGAACCTCTTGTATTAACTGTTTCACATTTTTTCTTTCATCTGTGTCAATCTCATTCTTTTTCTTTGTTTTGCAGGTGATCTAGTAACAGGATTGGAAAATTAAGTTCATTAAATCCAACACGGCTAGAAAATTTGGACAATTTCTGGCCAGAGACCACTAGATCATTGCTTCAAAGACTTGTGGTCTCATCGTGTCACTATGGCACCATGAATTTGTTGTGATGATAAGAGGAATGTGAAGCCTGGAAATTGCAATGGCAGGGCTACACTGTAGGCACAGGAATTGGAACAGTTTCTTCATCAAAAGCAAATTATTTTTTTTCACTATCGTTCATGATAGGCTGTTGAATGGAGTTATTATAAAAATTGTCTAGTTGAAGAGTGAGTATTGTGAATGTGAGGTCTTGTTAAATAACAAAAGTCAAAGGCTACAAAGGAGAACTTCACTTTTTGGTGTTTATATGCATAAAGTGGAAGTGTTAAAGATTGATACTGATGTTGATACTATTGGTTAAATTGATTGGCAAATGGTTTATTTGGTTTGACAGCTAACTACTGTTGTGGCAGCTAATTGCTATTGCTGCTAATGTTAATTTGATACTACTGTCGGACAATGTTCATAGGTGCAACTAATGGTTAAATAGCTCTACGTCTGGTATCAAATTCTGGTGCAGATTGATGATAAGGAAAAGGTCAAGCTAAAACCTGGAAACCCACTTTAGCTTGAGGGGGAATGTTGAATATATTTTCCACTATGAAGTGCTGCCTTGAAGACCCAAATCTGAAGTCTTGAAGTGCTGTGTTTTGATTAATATGCTGTTGCAAGTTAAAGTGCTGCCGCTTCATGTTAAGAAGTTTCTAGTTATAAAAATGTCATCACTTGCACTTTACTCTTTCAATTAAGCTGTAAGTAAGATAATAACAAATTCTCAGTTCAAGTTTTATTTTTCTCTCGATTCTTCTCTCAATTTTTCTTCAAACTCTATGCCTCACACTGGTTCTGTAATGCCTCCATGCCACATGTATAGTATGAAATAAAAGGTCTTAATGCCAGAAAGAAAAATATTAAATTTTTTTCTATATGTCAATGTTGAACAAAAACAAGAAATGAGCTAGGAGAAACACGCACCCAAAAAAGTAGAAACTTCCCAATCAAAATTAAGGTTTGGTCTACTACCCCTTCCATCCAACACACAATATTGAGTATCTTGGTGATACATATTTATGAACATATGAGAAAATTTCATGAACTCCTATCAACTCTCACATATAAGAATTAACTCTTGCCAATGAGATTTCAAATCCGCAACTAAAAAAAATCAAGAAGTTTGCAGGAGAGACGAACTATTTATAAATATATAACATGCCTTTACAGTATTCTTATAAGGAATTATTACCTGTGAAGCACCAAGCCACTGAATTATGGCCTTCAGCTCAGGATCTTCCCCTAAAGCACCACATCCCCAATTCCCAGACACAATCCCTGGAGAATCCTGTTGTTTCAGAAACTGACAACTCACTGTACAGAAGCAAGATCAATTTATTTACATTTACAGAACTTCAAATAACAGTCCATTAAATTAGAAAAGCTAGTCCAACATGTCTGCCAACATCCAATTGACATGCTAAGAAGATTTTAAATTAAGAAAGAAAATCAGTAGACAAAGTAATTAAGACCTCGCACTGAAAAATTATTCCTTGATATGTTGTCTTTATCCTTGGCTTCATGAGGTCCGATGTCTAGATAAAGTCTTTCATATTGACCAAATTTAGATTGATCAATAAACGCACAAAGAGCTTTATTTGTCTCCCTATCAAAAGAAACAGGTTGAAGTACATAATAATATTTGACTAACAAAGAAAGAAAAAGAAAGAAAAAAATCTGCAGATTTTAAAGAATGAGATGGCATAAACCCTTTTTACTTTTGTCTTGTGTCTAATCCTTCTAGATATAGGAACAAACTGCATAAACCCATAAGAAAGAAAGAAAGTCCTTTGAACTAGATGAAGTATGCAAGATGTGACTTGAGAGTGACATCACTTATCAAATCAGTAACTTGGATGAATATTCAGACCAATTTGAGGTTTCTAATGAAACTGACATGTATTCTCTAATTAATTTGTCCTGTGTATTTGAGGTGTTCAAAACAAAAATTTACATACCGAAGGAAGTATTTGAGCGCATATTGTTTTCTTCCGGGCCAGCATAATGAATCTATAGCAATTATCCACGTTTTACGTCTCCGAAAAACATCAATATTCCTTTTATCCACATGATCACTAGAAAATAGAAATGACGAGCCACATGTACACCGTGTAAAGATGATACAATGGTCAGATAATTAACTACAACAAAAATCGATTAAAAATAATTCTTGTACATATGCTTGATATAGCCAACTTTGAGGGATACAAAAGACTTTAATCATTTAAGTATAATAATGAAAGGATGAGAATCAAATAAAATGCCTAACCTAATACATGAAGACATACATGTTGCAGGAAAGCAACTTCAAAGAGAAGGCATGCATGCCAAAGGAACAAATTTTTGGAAAATAAACTGAAATATAGGTGCTGAAAAATACCTAATTAAGCACGAACCATGAAGGACTCTACAATCTTAATATTTAATAAGAAAATTTTACCTGCACACACCCCCTGTGAAGTGCACCACCTCCAATATACTTGTTTGCAAAATCTACTTGAAGACCATTGGTGGGGTGATCTTCTATTGAGCCTAAACTGTAAGCCTACAAAGTATAAAATTGCCTTATCAATAACTAAAATGTGTGAAACTAAAAAAATAAAATTGAAGACAATAGATTATAGAAGTATCTTGAATTACCTCAAAAGGGCAGAGGGGTACGATGGATTTGCTCCACGTGTAAGCTTCAAGATATAAAGAGGAATGAAGGATGATGGTCTAAAGGAAGAACCTTCTGCTCAAATGAGACAGAGCCAATAGGCATACATGAGGATATCCTTTCAAAATAATGTACAATGCACTTTATTTTATTTTCCTGGTTTTCACTATAACTTTCATATAGACTCCTTCAAAAGATGAAAGTTTTACACAATTAATTTACTAGCTTCGAGTAATTAAAAAATAAAGTTGTCAAAAGTAGACATTTGTAGGAGTTTCAAACAAAAGAAACCAAACTGAAGAAGAAATCAATTGATTTCATGGGATACACCCAAACCCATTGAAATCAAATCAGCCATAACACGAAGTAGCTAACTCATGAAGTAGAACTTTCTGTAAAAAAAAAAAATTAACAGCTGCTCATACTGAGACATTAAAACAATCTGGTAAGCATGGATATTCCTAATATTTGTTTACTACAACAATTAATAATAATATTTATGCAAATTGTAATTACTTTCAAATCTTAGCCATTGGTGCAAGACACTCTATCCATCACACTATGCAAATATCCACGAGCCTAAATACTTCACATATTGGAATATCCATATTTCAATATGATATATCTGATACAGATACATGATATAGTTCAAATGGTCCACTAAAAAAAGCTTAAGGTTACATACGCAAACAATTCATGAAAGTTGATGGTTGGAAGATGGAACAAACAAAAGAAAGAGCATGCGAGAAGAGCAACAATCAATTCCTGAAAAGCAATATTTAAACTATCAATGATTATGCCATATTAGAAAAACAACCGAAAGCGAAGAAGAATAAGCAATGAAACTACTGGAAAAGGCCCAAGAAACAATTTTTAAGATGATAAGGTGGTCTCTTATCTGATAGATTATATGACACAGGAAATATCAAGTTTTGCAGCATTTATGCAACTTATATATAGCAATTTTTTAGTAGACCTAAAATACTGATATATCTTAGCTTTGACAGTGCACTGAATCGTGTGCCTCACAATTGTTAGCCCGAATATAAAGATACCTGGCTGGGGAACACTATGCCTGCTTCTTGTGGACCCAATTGCTGAGACGCGTTTGGATGCCATATTTTCCAAGAAAATCATCTGCATTTTGATAGTGAATTTCTAATAGAGAGGGCAACTGCAAGAGAAAACTTGCTAGTGCTAGAAGAACCATTTTGTTGATTCCGCCCAAGATATAAGCTGCATAAAACCTCCTTATTCAGCTTCAGAGATAATAAAATCTTTATGTAATTAGCTATTCGTCAAACAGTTCACCAATATCTTGTGCTCATCCAAATTCTCTTCAAAAAGAGCTTTTGACATACATCATGATTCTAGCCAATAAGTTCTTCATAATTGTACGGCAAAACCATATCCATCAACCTAAAACTCATAAATTTCACTTCACATTCAAACTATTAAACATAACCATGACACAGAACTTGTAAATTTCACATCACATTAACCACAAGAAACTCAATAAACCAACAAAATTCAAGTGAAAAACATACCCATGAACACAAAATCCCCTTCCCATTGAAACATCAACAACAAAACCTTCATCAAACCAGAAAAAAAGAAAAAAAAATTAGTAAAATACATACCCATTAATCGAATGTTCTTAAAACTCTCTTTAAATCCGAACTATAACCCAAAAACACTCAAGTAAAAAACATACCCATTAACGTAAAATTCATTAAATTCATTTCAATACAAACCCAAACGAAAAATTCTGATCTTTTTTAAGGAGAGAAAGAATTACATTATCAAAGAAAAGCGTGTAACCATTGAGGGCCAAAGGAGCGAGAGATTCAAAGAGAAAGAGCGAGCTTTTGATATCACAAATCGCCACAGAAAGCACTTCTCTTGAGTTGACCCGGCTGTTTTCGGGTCCTTTCGACATTGATTTAAGAGCTTCGACTACTTTGGATGGCCAAAACAGAGTTGATGATCTAACCAACAATGGCAAGTAGGGTAAAATTCACTTCAAGTCTTCTCTTTTCTCCATTTTCTTCTTCGTTTTGATGCTTCGTTGCCAGTCTCTATGTTTAGTTATTCATTGGTAATTGGCGGGTGGTAATGTAAGTTATTATACATAATAATTATGGGCTTTATTGTAATTAATCATATTGGCTCCGTTTGGTTGGTTTTTGGGAATACTACTGTTAGTATTCCCAAAAAGTTAAAAAGTAAAATACCAAAAAACTCATAATATTATTCAACTTCTTTTAAACCCCCTAAATTTGTTAATTTAATTAAATACCCATAAATATTTTTTTAAAAAATTGTAAAAACACCCCAACAATCTACATTTACCAGATTTCGGCCACCACTCCCGGAAAATGGCCAGAATCTGGTAGGATGGCGCACTACCGGCTAAATCTGGTCTGTAGTGCGCTGATCTAGCCTTTTTCGGCCAGATCCACGGTGGATCTGGCTGGAAAAGGCCAGATCTTTGGCCATAACCAATCGGTAACGACGGCCAACAAGGTCGTCGCTGACCATCAATGACGACCGTTTGTTGGCCGTCGTTGACAAGCAAATATGGCCAGATCTGGTCGTCAATGGCCAGATCTAGCCGTAGATCTGGCCTTTGCCGGCCAAATCCACCATGGATTTGGTCGAAAAATGCCATATCGATGCACGACCGGCAAGATCTAGTCGGTCATGCACCGATACGGTGACTCTAGCCACCCTCCAACGGTGGTGGCTGGCTGTCCGTATTTAAGGGTAGGTTGGGGGTGTTTTTGTTAACTTTTAATGTTTTATTATAGGAGTGTTTTAAAATAAACAAACATAAGGGGTATTTTATGAATTTGTAAATCCTACATCGTAATACCCGCCCAATTCAACTTTTTTTAACTTTTTTAAAACAACTTTTCCCAAAAACGTATATTCTAACTATTAATCAGTAATATACTAGCTTGGAGCTTGGAAACAATATATACTGTGTTTAGAAAAGCTCTCTTGCAGGTCTAAAATGGCTGACAATACCAAGCTTCGGATAGCAATGTTTCCATGGCTAGCTTTTGGTCACATGATTCCTTGGCTCCAGCTCGCTAAGCTCATAGCTCAAAAAGGTCATGAAATCATCTTCATTTCCTCCCCTAGAAATATTGATCGCTTACCAAAACTCTCTCCAAATTTAGCTTCTTTCATTCACTTTGTTAAACTTCCCTTACCCCAAGTAGAAAATCTCCCTGAATACGCAGAAGCCACCATGGATCTACACTACGACAACGTTTGGTACCTAAAACAGGCATACGATCGTCTCCAAGAACCCATGAAACACTTACTCCAATCTCTTTCTCCCGACTGGATTTTTTACGATTTTACAGCTTATTGGCTACCAATTATAGCCCGTCAACTCGGTATCCCCCCATGCTTCTTCAGTATATTTAATGCGGCGGTTCTCGATTACCTTGGGCCGCCATCCGCCTTAATCAACCGTACTGATCATGACCTCAACACACCTGAAGATTACACGAGACAACCCAAGTGGGTCCCTTTCCCAACGACCGTGGCGCTTCGCCTCTTTGAGGCGAGAAGGATCTTCCATGGAATAACTGGAGACGAATCAAATGTCTCTGATTTTTATCGTTTTGGTGAAACACTCAGAAGCTGTGACATTATCACTATAAGAAGCTGTGTGGATTTCGAACCTGAATGGTTGAAAGTTTTAGAAGATATTCACCAAAAACCCGTTATTCCGGTCGGCCAACTCCCCACCACGGCGGATGATGCTAGGGAGGAAACGGATACGTGGAGGTGGATTAAAGAATGGTTAGACAAGCAAGAAAAAGGTTCAATAGTGTATGTTGCATTCGGTAGCGAAGCACAACCGAGTCAAGATGAACTCACTGAGATAGCTTTTGGGTTAGAGCTCTCAGGATTACCCTTCTTTTGGGTGCTCAAGAAGCGACTCGGACCAGCTGACACTAAGTTGATCGAGTTACCAGATGGGTTCGAGGAACGAACAAAAGGGCGTGGAGTGGTTTGCACGAGTTGGGCACCCCAACTCAAGATTTTGGCTCATGATTCAGTGGGGGGTTTCTTGTCTCACTCTGGGTGGAGCTCAGTAGTTGAAGCGCTTCAGTTTGGAAGAGCTCTTGTGTTGTTAACTTGCTTTGCGGATCAAGGGTTAATAGCTAAGCAATTAGCAGAGAAAAAGATTGGGTACGTGCTTCCTAGGGAGGAGGGAGACGGTTCGTTTACGAGGAACTCAGTGGCGGAATCACTGAGGCTTGTTGTGGTAGAGGAAGAGGGTAAATTTTATAGGGAGAAAGCCATGGAGATGAGAGGTTTGTTTGGGGACAGGGATAGACAGGATCAGTACTTGGATAATTTCCTGAAGCATCTTGAATCGCACAGATGTTTAAAGCAAGAATAGGTGATTTATGCCAATTAAGTGTCAAGCTAGTTGTTTGTATTGTACTTTGTGTTTTGAGATTGATTGGGGCGAAGTTAATCATCATGAACCGCAGATTGTGTAGTTTCAGATAATTATGTTTTGAATAAAATGTATTTTTGCGTTGCATGTGCTTACTCTAGGTAGTAAACTGATCATCTTTGGAATTTGACTATTAATTTTATTAAGGCACATTTTTGGTAATCATGTAGTTGGACAAAAGTTTTATTTTAAAAAAAAAATACAACATTATTAAAGATTTTAAAATAATGCATAATTTTGAAATATGTTATAAACAATTTCCGATAAATTTTTTCATATATATGGAGAAGATCTTCAGTAAATTAGATGGATTGCTTGCTTAATATAGTAACCAGGTCTTCCTACAGCTTCTCTATGGTCTTTTATGAAATAATGGAATGCTAGCAACTTCAACTTAAAATTTTTAAGATGGAGTTGCAAGCATGATCTACAACTTATTGCCCTCAGCTGCCAAATCGTTCTTCTGTGACTTCTGTTTAAAAACTCCTGCCCATAGATAGGCGTCTTCCATCCTTAGCCGCTAAAAAAAACTTACTGACACGGCTCCCATTCTCCGGCAAAACCTACCCTTCCCTTTTCATGGATAATTTTTTTATGTAACTAATAATATGTTACGTGACAGGTCCAACTAAGTACTAATAATATGACTTGTGACATGCTGGGTCCAACTAAGTACTGATAATATGACTTGTGACATGCTGGGTCCAAGTCGTCCCACCCACCATCAGGTTTTGAGCATGGTTTTAAAACCCGGCCCAACCCGGCTGGTTTAACCAAGATCCAAGGCCTTCGTTGGGCCACGTCACCCATTTTCACCATTTAAACAAACCTTTGAGTGACGATCGACAATCGGACGGTGGCGGTGTTGTTGGTAGCTTTGGAGTGGAAGTGTCGGTAAGTTGAAAGGTGGAGACGAAGGTGATTTCTAGTGAGTAAAATGACTGAAAAAGGTAAAAGTCGTGCGGCCACAACAGCGGGCTATTGCTGGCAATTGGCGATGCAAACAATCTAGGAGATGAGATGGATTTTGGTCAAGCAATTAAGGGGAGAGTTTTCATGGTGATGAGGAGTGTTTTCGACGCCGGAAACAAGCCTATTTGGCCTGGGTTGTCAACACTAGAGGTGGTGTTTTTTGTCGCAAAATGGTTCGATTTTGACTATATCTTGGGCATATTTGTTGGGGAATGGCTCAAAGGATAAGTGAGATTTGCATTTGGTGTGTTGTCGCCGCCAACTAGTTGACTGGCGATTTGCATTTGGGGTGTGTTTGCTGGATTTCAAACCTATAGAGACTTATTTATAATTTTTTAGGAGTGTGTTTATTGGATTTCAAACCTCTAGACATGTTAACATCATCCGTTTGACCCACTAGTCAAACTGGTTCAACCCGAGACCCGACCACTTTGTCAGGTTTCACCCTGGGCAAGGTTTTGAAACCTTGGTTTTGAGTTCGTGCCTTTAACACTGATTGTTATATGTTATGTACAAATAAGTAGATATTATTCTGTTTGAGTGTAGATCTACACAAATTTGCTTTTAGATTTCTTGCAAGCATTCTTTACCTGTGACATGTCGTCAACTGAAATTGAAAAAGATTAAATTAACAACTCCATTGGAACATTACGTTTTACTACTACTCACTTACGTAGTGGCGGAGCCAACGAATGACAAGTGGGGACCACAGTTCCTACTCAATTTTTAAAAAAATTTAGATTTTAGATTTATTTAAATTTTGCCCTTATAGAACTTTTGAGATTTTGGAAACAGAACAGCCCCCCCCATGGTAAGTTTGGATTTTGTTTTTGTAAAACCCCATTTTTAATTCTAATATATATATTTCATATTCTTTGTGATTTTTATTTTTATGCAAGGGGATCTGTTAGTTTTTAAAAGTTTTATTAGGAGTGAAAATAAAAAGAATAAGAGCTGTTGGTTTGCATGTTACTAAGGGGAGAAATCTTGGCATTTTTACAACAGAAAGTTGATGTGGCGGGGTCATGGTGAGAATAAGAGAATTTTGGAACAGTTTCATAATTCAAAGAAGCTGTTTTATATATAAATTGGGCTATTTGCCCAAAATGAAGAAGAAGAGAGAAAAACCCATAAAAAAGAAAGAAAGAAGAAGCAAAGGAAAAGGAAAAAGAGAAGAGAGGGAAGAATGGGTTTGGCCAGCTTTATGCATATGATTTTTCTGCAGTTGAGTTGATGGTACTTGAAAACCAAGCTAAGACTTATGTTATTGACATGCGCTCTTATGATAAATTTGCTGAGTTACAAGGAATTAGTGATTTAACTAAGAATTTAGTTCGGTTTAAAAAAGACATTTTGTATCTGTTGGTGTATAAGCTTGTGAAAGTTGCATTGGTTTTACCAGTTGCAGCTACGATCGTTGAGAGGGCTTTCTCTGTAATAAATCTTGTGAAAAGTCAGTTGTGCAGTGGAATGAGAGATCAATGGATGAATGATTGTTTGGTCACCTATATTGAGAAAGATGTATTTGATACAATTGACAATGAGATGATTATTAAACGTTTTCAGAATATGAAAACTCGTAGAGGACAACCGTAGAAAAATTATTTTATTTTTTACAAAAAATTGAGTTTTTTTGAAGATTTTTATTTATATTTTTTAACTTCTTGTTGAAACTCATCGTAAAGAAAAAAAAAGTATAGTTATGATTGGTTTCAAATTTTTTTTTCTTTGGTTTTCTTTTTGCCCCATAGAGTGAAATTCTTGGATCTTCACTACACTTACGTCTTTCTTTTGGGACAGAAGCTCCACCATCAAGCAATCCTTGCACAAACACGGGTTCATGTTGTTGAAATAAAGAGAGTTTTGAGGAATCATATGATTGTATATTTTTGTGTATCTCAACTATACAAAAGAGGTCTCTATTTATAGTAGAGAAGGCCAAAGTTAATAAGGAAATACACTATATGGAAAGATTCTAACCTAGCATAATTACAGGAAATTATAGCATAATTATAGGAATAATAATATATTCTAGGGATATTATAAGATACTAATATATATATTGTAGGGATATTATAAGATACTAATATATATACTAACATTCCCCCTCAAACTTTTGGTGGTGAAGTCAACTGGAGTTTGGAAACAAGATCACCAAGTCGACCAGGTGGATGGGATTTCGTAAAAATATTAGCAAGATTTTCTTCAGAAGAAACTGAATGTAACTGGAGGACACCTGTTATAGATGGTGGCGAATGAAGTGACAATCAATCTCAATATGTTTAGTACGCTCATAAAACACATCATTATGCGCAATCTAGATGGCATTACGATTATCACAGTGAAGAGGAGAACTTATTGGTTGAGGAACACCCATATCTTTCAGAAGCCAACGTAACCACAAAAGTTCAGATGTCGTATCAGCAAGAGCGCAATACTCAGCCTCAGTGCTAGAACGGGCAACAACAAACTGTTTCTTACTACACCAGGAAATCAAAGAAGTACCAAGTAAGAAGCAATAATCAGTTGTGGAGCGATGATCAGTAGGATCACCAGCCCAATCTGCATCAGAATAGGCCTGTAGCTCTAGAGAGGAGTGGGATGAGAAGTGCAAACCATGAAACAGAGTACCCTTGATGTAACGTGTAGCAAAATGGGCAGATCGAGGTGCATTCATAAACTGATTGACTAGATGAACAGCATATGAAATGTCAGGCCTGGCGACAGTAAGATAAATGAGACCATCAACTAACTGTCGATAAAGAGTTGCATCTGCAAGTGGAGAACCGTCAATGGCCAGAAGCTTAGTATTATACTTAAGTGGACTAGTGGCTATCTTACTGTCTGTCAACCCAGCTTTGGCAAGTAAATCAGAGGCATATTTTGCTTGAGTGAAATAATAACCATCCTGATTTGAAGTAACTTCAAGGTCAAGGAAGTAGTTAAGATGTCCCAAATCCTTTATCTCAAAATTCTGACTAAGAAAAGTTTGAAGATCTCGAATACCAAAAATATCACACCAGTAATAATCATATCGTCTACATAGAGAAGAAGAAGGATAGTACCCGCCCTAGTGGTGCGAAGAAAGAATGCAGAATCATATGGGCTAGAAAGAAAGCCTTGTTGAGAAACCACTGACTGAAAATTCTCAAACCAAGCTTGAGGAGACTATTTGAGCCCATAAAGTGCACGACGAAGATGACAAACTTTATGTGGAGGATGCTCATAGCCAGGTGGAAGCTGCACGTAATCTGTCTCAGTAAGATCACCATTAAGGAAGGTGTTTTTAACATCCATTTGAAAAAGTTCCCAACGCCGGACAACAGCAACTGCAAGTAAAGATCTGACAGAGGTAAGTCTAGCAACAGGAGCAAAAGTCTCCTCATAGTCAATCCCATACTCCTGGGTGAACCCCTTAGCAACAAGTCGAGCCTTGTAGCATTCAACTGATCCATCTGCTTGAGTCTTGATTTTATAAATCCACTTCATCCCACTGTAGCTTTCCTATGAGGCAAGTCTACTAGATCCCACGTATGTGTTTTGACAAGAGCATTTAATTCATCAGACATGGCTTGCTGCCAAAGAGGTCAGTACGAGCCTCACGATAATTGTGAGGTTTGTGGAGGGTGGCAAGGACAGAGAAACAGTGATAATCACAAAGATGAGTAGGAGGAACACTTACCCGACTGGAACGATGACGTTTAGGGAGTGGAGAAGACAGAGGAATAGGTGGTGTGGCAGGTGGTCCATCAAACGCATCAACTAGATTGGGTGCAATAGTGGAAGAACTGTCTGAGGAGCTCGGAATCTCTACGGAAGAGTAAGAAAATAGAGCAATAGAGGGATCCGTGAATATGAGTGAGTGGTTAGATAAGGAATGGGAGAACGTGGATATGCTAGTAAATGGTTTGTGTTCCCAAAACTCCACATGATGAGAGACTCATAGACATTTGGAGATAGGATCATAACAACGATAACCTTTTTGAGTTAAGCCATAACCAGGAAAACAGCATAACCGATAACAGGGTTCAAGTTTGGTCCGTTCATGAGGAGGAAGAGTAACAAAACAGGC